CCCTGCGGAGCCGCGGCCCCTGCTCGGGGCTGTCCGAGCAGCACCATGGCCAGGCAGCCGAGGGAGGGGATAATCCCCCCCTGCTCTGCACTCACGGGACAACAGCGGTGTCGTGGGTCCGGTTTGGGCACCCCCGGGAGAGGAAACACATCGATAAACTGCAGAAAGTGCTGAGGGGGGCACCGAGGTGTCCGGGGCTGCAGCACCCCAGGCTGAGGAACCAGGGCCGGATCGGCCCGGGGAAGGCACAGCAGCCCCCCAAAACCTACGGAGGGATCATCGAAAAGGCAGCTCCGGAGCTTTCACAGCAATGCCTAGTGGGGAGGCAAGAGAAAATATAGTGCGTCAAGAGGGATGTAAAGAAAACCCTTCTCTCCCCTGGGAGCAGTGGAGCAGGCTCCCTGACCAGGGAAGCTGTACAGATTCTGTCCTCGCAGGACTGGAGTCCCGATGGGACAGAGCCCTGTTCTGAGCTCACTGATGACCCTGCTGAAAGTTCTATTGGGCTATGATTCTGTAATTTTAATTGTTTTGGTTTTTTCCCAGCAAATGGGTACTTTTTTCAATTGAGCTTTATTAAAAGTAGCTGTAATTTGCACAGTCTATCCTTCATAATTAATTCAGTGCAAACCAAGTCTGATTGCTGAACTCAGATCTGAACCTGTTTGCCAGCAAACCAAGCAACAGTAAAACAAATGAACACACTGTGAATGAGTACGGTCTAAAAGGGCAAATCACTTTCCAAGTGCCTTCAGCACCTGACACTACAGCTTTTAGGTTCACAGTTAGCACTTGCCTACCAAGTCACTGCTTCAGACCAGCCCCAAGTCGTCTCACAGAGGTTGTGAAAAGCCACCTTGGAGTAACCTGTGCCTATTGTGACCTGTGCCAGTACAGCAGGCTGCACAAACAGAGCTCTCTGACTTGACACCCTTGCTGCTCTCTAGCCTCCAGCCACATTGTCTCCTTTCAAATGTGTTTAAACCCAGACCCCAGGGATGTCCTTTCCAGTACTTCACAGCCCTGGATCAGGCATGTCTCATCTGTAACTCTGTATAGGATATAGTCTGCTTAGTAGTTTCAGTCTCTTTGAGCACCATAGTTTCCAAAATGCCTCTCAGATTGAGCCACTTCAATGAGCTGCTTTTTTTCTGCTTCCAGTTGTTTCCAGTTAACGTCCCAGGCATCTCTACAGGTGACAGCTTTGGACCTGGCAGTAATCACTTAGTGAGCTTCCATTTTAAACTGGTGACAACAGATACATGATGTCAGCCTGATACATCCAACTTCTCTGAGAACATTTCTCTGATATCTACAGAGCTGTCAGGACTGGGGAGAAAACTCTTCATTATAACAACCAGTTTTCAGGCCTAACTAACTTTTTCACCCAGCCTAACGTGGAAAGGCATTCTTGACTTAGAAGCCAAAGTAGTGACCTGTCACACTGAATTTGCTTGAGAAGGGCATAAATTCTTAGTTTGCTTCTTTAAAAAAGATGTGAGACGTTTTCAGAAAATTATCTCCTGGTCTGTATTCATGAAACAGCAATTACCTTCACTTGCTGGAATTAGCATAGCGTACATAGCATGTACTGTTCATTCTCAAAACGTAAAAGCCCTTCACACATCTGCCTCTTTTTTTTCTTTTTTTTTTTTTCTCTAAATATATAAATGGAGATGAATGCAGAAGAATAGCTTGAGTGGTAAGATGCTAAATGGTATGTATCTTAGAGGTATTGGAGGGCCTATTTCTGATGTAATAGGTGGCAAATCCTGAACTGACTCACATCTTTAAAGGTGCTGATATTAGCTATGACTTCAATGACTTTCTCATTACAGTAGAAATGAAAGTTACTTAAAATGGATTGAAATTAGTAAGCCAAAGTAACTCATAATGGAGAATGATGCATATGTAATAGTGTAACATATATATAATTATCTAGATAATAAAGTGATATATGGAACTACATTAACACATTAATCCTTTCACATGCAAACTTCCAGTTACAGCTTAATGATGCAGCGCCCTGGAATTAGGGCTCCTTGATACCACACTTTTCAGTCTGCCTGAGTACTCCCGAGTCTCCTAGCACAGGTGGTGCTGAAGGCCATGAACCATTCATTACCAGATACCTGATCCAGCTTATTCCAAACCACAGTATCAACACCAGGCCTCTGACGCAGAAGAGGAGGTGCAGAGAGGAGAGCCATGCAAGCCCCAGGTCATGTCCCCGTCCTGAAGGCGTCAGCTCTGCAGATGTGGTACCTTTGATGTCTGTTTAGCAACCTGAACTTCGGCGGAGGTCGGTCTCCATGGCTTGCTTTCTTGGTCTTTTCCTCCCGTGTTTTTAGTACACCCAACTGGCAGGCACAGACCTTTGGTGGATCAACTGCTGAGTGCTTGCTACAGAAACCATCCTGTAGATCAAGGGGGAGACGGGGGATGCGGGCAGAAGGGGGGAGGTGGCGAGAGAGGGAATATCGTGTGGCAACAGCACTCAGACATGAACAAGTGGATTCTGTGATTGTTCCTGACAGCAGCGGTGTAACGCCGGTGAAACTTCCCCGTGCTCTGCACAGCGCGCATGGCTCGCCTCCAAACCCTGCTATCCAGC